GTTCCTACTATGGGCTGACCACTGGGATACACAGAATAGGTACCGTCTCTGGCTAGTTGCTCAGATCTGGCGCGCTAACAGAATGGTTAAGAAATAATCTAGTGCAACCCGAATGGCAATGAGAATAACGATCGGTTCACATTTATTGTGAGCACTCACTGTGTGCCAGGCAATACATGAACTACGTCCTCTTATTATTTATGGTTTACAAGCTAAGGAAACTGACACTTAAATAAATTAAGGAGAAATAGCTAGGGTCCAAACAAAGACCATTAAGGAAGCAACTGGCCCCTGGCTGGCGTAGCTCAGTGGATTGAGTGCGGGCTGGGAACCAAAGTGTCCCAGGTTCGATTCCCAGCCAGGGTACATTCCTGGGTTGCAGGCTAGAACCCCTAGCAACCGCACATTGATGTTTCTTTCCCTCTCTCTCTCTCTCTCTCTCTCTCTCTCTCCCCCCTTCCCTCTCTAAAAATAAATAAATAAAAAAATCTTAAGGGAAGCAACTGGCTCCTAGCTGCACTTTGCAAGCAGAAATGTCATTGCAAAGGTACCCAGAGGCCCAGGGGACATGTGTCAAGGAACCTGGTATTTCTGACCAGTGTACAGATGTGAGGGAAGCGGGACAAAGGATAAGTCCGTTAGAGAGGTAAATCTTTCCAGTCAGACTCCAAATCTTTGCTGGACCAGGTGTAGATGTGAAGGGGGGTGTTGATCTGGCCAACTTTTTAGGGCAGTGGTTTTGAGACTGTCCCCAGACCCGCAGGCAAGGCATCACCTGGGAATTGGTTGGACCTACTGACTCAGAAATTCAGGGTGGGGGGTGGGGGTGGGGGTGGGGACAACAATCTGTTTGACCTAGCTGATTGACAGCTCCCTAATGCACGCTGAACTTTAAGAATCCTTGTGGAGAGGGTATGAAGCTGACAAAACTCTGGGAGCCAGAGGTAAATAATTCACTGATTTTATTCAAACAGATTTCCTCTCTATTCACACCCTCAATGCAAACTGACTTTGGACCTACCTGGGTACAGCCTGTTCCTAAGACACTTATGGTACCTTTAGACTTTCCCTCGACTTCAGAGCATTTCCAGGGCTCTTAGACCCAGGCTAAGTCTCACAGGACATGACTGATATTTTTAATGGAAAAAAAATTGGAAGGCTTTGATCCAGGGGAATTTCCTTTTCCACCCATACTTGTTCCATTCTAGACTAGTATTTGCCACGTAAAATTAAGCCTTAAATCTGTGACTCAATCTCGGCTGAACATTGGAATCTCCTGAGAAGCTTTAAGGGATACTGATGCTTGAGTTACAACCGAAGATTCTGATTTAACTGGTCTGTGGCGCGGCCTGAATATGGCGATTGTTGAAGCTCAGTCAGTGATCCAGTTTGCCACCAAGGTCAGAAATCGCCGCTAAAGCGCCATTACCTAAAAGGTCCACCAGAGGGCGCTGCTTCCTTGCTTTTCCAGGGAAGCAGAGGCGAGGGTGGAAACCCTTACTGCAGGCTGTGCAAAGCGGGTCTAGGAAGTTAATGTAAGGAGACCCAGGTGCCCTGGCCCCTGGCTTACCAACCCTTTTGTGTTCTGAGACTGTCCATTTTGCTGAGTGTCATAGAGATAAACAACACAACCTCTCTAAGCCTTGATTTCTGCATTTTTTAAATTGGGAGAAGAAAGGGACTTGGCCTATTTTCATTCTTTCTCTTTTTTTTCCAATACACATGGAGTCTCATGAAATAGACAAGATGCTGACCTGGGGAGGGAAAGGGTAAACTTTCAAATGGGATAAAACACCTCCATTATAGGGGAAGAGTAATAGATGATGGTTTTCATTCATGACTGCGTCACGGAAGGGGTCAGGGGAGAGAAAAAACCATAAAAGAGGAGACAGAGACTGCTAGTAGGGACTTACCTATGACAGTATGTTTATGACTCTTCTATTCCTTAGTTATCGTAAGTAGCATGCTAGACCGTGATCAGTTCCATTTAACAGGTGAGGAGTCTGAGGCTGAGATGTGAAGTGAGCCACACAGCTAGTCAGGGGCAGAACCAGAACCGGAACTGGGGTGTGTGTGTCTGACTTCAAAGCCAAGGACTCCCGTGCACCCCCCCCCCCATAGCCCCTCAGGAAGTAGGTGCCCAGCTTCCTGCTCCCTATCAAGAGGGGCTCTCTCATCCAGTTCCCCCATCAGGAGTGCGCCCCAAGTCCCTTCCCAGGTATTTCACTGAGACCGGATCCCTCCCCCTTTTGTCTCCGCAGTAGCACTGGGTGCTGAGGGCGGTGTGGGAGAGACTTCCCTTTTCTCCTCTCCGCTCCCACCCCGCCCCCCCAGGCCAGTCTTCTCCAGGGAAGGGCAGACACCCACTGAGTCACACCATTTTGCAGCCTTCCCAAGTGTGAATGAGATTTCTAATAGGACCAGCTGCCCCCTGTCTTCAGGCAGGGTTGGGAAATGTAAGAGGCAGGACACGGGGAAGAGAGCCAGTTTGAAAGAGCCGTAGGAGCCGCCATAGTGGTAACAATAGCAGCAGCCTCCAAGTGGAAGTGAAGGGATTTGATTCAGAGAGGTTAAGTGCCCGGCGGAAAGTCACACAGCTCGCAAGTGGTACAGGGGACTGAGCTCAGCTAATGATTGGATTTTTAGGTTTCCTAAAGGAATACAATTCCCGACACAATTTAGGTTTATAGGATGCTTCTGTGTTATTATTTTTGTTCTTTCACCTCTTTTAACATTTTTATTTTATTGATTGATTGATTGATTGATGCTTTAGTGTTCTGAAGGAAAGACTGTCCCATGTCCCAGCCTTCTCTGCTTCTGGGTGCTGCTGACCGACCCTTCCCTTCTCTGGCCTGAGGGGCCCCGGGGTGCCTTGTGCCCGGCGGCGTGACAGGCGGAGGGAAGTTCACCTGGAAAGGAGTAGAGAGGGCATTTGAGTTTGTTGCGTGAAAAATTTATCCCCATCGAGGGTCTTATTATTGGGACTTGGTGACCGCCTTGGGGCAAGGTGACCCCGACCTGGAGGTGCAGAGAAAGGCTGGGAAATGGTGTTTATGATCCCGGCTTCCACTACAGTGGGGAGCCTGGTTGAGGGACTAGGTTTCTCCACCTGTTTTTTTCTCCGGGTGACACCTCGGGACCCTGCAGCATGAGGCAGATCCTGGAGCCAAGGAGGTGTCCCGTGTACGGAAGTCCATGGTCAGCCCCGGGTGGAGGGGGGGGCACCAGATGAGCTCCCGGTCAGGTGTGTCCACCACGCTGCTGCCAAAGCACCTAGCATTGCTGACAGGGCGGTCAAGAGCCTACGGCCCCTTATGCCCACCCACACCGTGGCTCTCTCCTGCCAAACACAACCAGACCATCAGACAGTGAGACCCTGGGCACGGGGCCCAAGGGGACCTGGTACTGCGGGAGCCCGACCCCACGTGGTTGTTTGGAGATGAGTAACTGAGCGGGGGTCTCTCCCTGTCCTCCCGCTGGTGGTGGGGGAGCAGCCCCGGCCTCTGAGGACAGAGACCCTGCCTCAGCCCTCGCCCCTACCCCACCCAAGGCTCCCCACTCACACCACTGCCCGTCCTGGTTTCTGCAAGACTCCACCTGGGGCGTGCTGCCCGGGGGTGTCCAGGGGGGTCTCCAGAGGTGTTTTCTAGGGGACAGAGAAGGACCCGAAAAGAGCACTGGGAGGGAAGGAGGGAGGGAGGGAGAACCAGCAAGGCCACGCGGCGCGCCCCGCCCCGCCCCCGCCGCAAGGGCCCGCACCGTGCGGCAGACTGGGACTTGTTGCTGGACCTGGGAGACAACAACAAAATCACTAGTCTTCCAGACGGGGCGGGCCGCGGGGACCTGGGGCGTCAGCCGGCCCACCCACCGCCACGTCCGCCTTCTCCCGCCGCCCTCCCCCACCCCCGAGTCCCCTCCAGCCTCTCCTCAGAGCTTGGCGGAGGCAGTTGTGATTTCTCATTTCCCCGAGTCTGACATACGTCCTTTGATAAGGAAATCTCATTTTTGGAGGGAGGCGGGTGGGTGGCTCACTGTTCTACCTTTCTTCGTTAATCATAAAGAGCCTACTGTCCTGCAGAAGGGAGCAAAGGGGGAGCTCCAGGTAATGGTGGCCCCTCTCTACCTGGTCCCCCACCCTCCCCACCCACAAGTCGGGGTCCAGGGTGCAAACCCTCCCGGTGCTCATGGAGCCACAGCTCTGAGTGGAGGCAGTTGGAGTGTTGGGCCAGTGGAACGGGAAGGAAAGGGGGAAATGGCTGTGGGCAGGGGGCAGGATCCTGTCCCGGTGTCCCAGCGCCCCCAGGCCCCACTCGGGGCAGAGGCACGGCCCCTGGCCCGGGCCAGCCTCTAATTGCACAGCCAGGGCACATCCGTCGCTTAATTAGCAAAAGCCACAGTATCCCGGTGGCTCAGGGAGCAAGGGCCTAATTGTGTTTCTGCAGCAGCTGAAAGGCAATTACCCTCCCCTATGGGTGCTGCTTCCCATTTCTCTCTCCTCTTTCTAATGGAAAACTCTTCCTCCGTGGCCCAGCCCTCCACCCTCTGTGGGTTCTCTCCACCCAGAGTGGGGAAGGGCTTGCCCGCAGACTTCGAAGGGGTCAGGGAGACAGCAGCAGCCCCTTCCAGCGGTCAGCCCTAGACGGCTGGGCCCAGAAAGCCAGGGCGGTCTCTGGAGGAGGTAGGGGAGGCGCATTCTCTCTCCACTCCCGGGTGGGGTGCTCGCTCTTCAACCGCAAGCCGCCCAGAGCTGAGGGAGAGAGAGAACCGAGCGAACCCACCCCAGCGAACCGAGGGAGAGAGAGGGGAACTCACTGTCCGTTATTTCTTTGAAAACAAAAAGAGTAAGAACCTGTGCGTCTTTGGCACCGTTAAGGGAGATGAGTCCACCCCCCGCCCCGCCACCTCGGAGTATGGTTTCCGAGACTGGAGTGCCAGTATCAGAGCACCAGGCCAGCTAAGGTGCAGGGTGTTAACCAGAGGAGTTAGGACCCCGGGTGTTCCTGGGAGAACAGGCCTTTCTCAGGGAGCTCTCGGTTCAACTTGCAGATGGTGATAGGGAAGCGGCGGGTGTCACAAAGAGAGTTTGCAGGGAACCCTGCTCGAAGCTCCCCGTGACAGCAGGGACTCCTCGCTCGTTCTTCTGTGCGGTGCCCAGCACAGAGCCTGTCAAAGGGTGGCGTGGAGAGAGAGAAGAGGACCGTGAGGTGTGAGCGCAAGAAACCCACTCCCATTGGCTTTTTTCCTCGCGGGACCCATGAAGGTGGACTGGAGCCTGACAGTGGCCCTGTTTTCTCTGTTTCTTTAACTCGGGGTTCTGTCCAGGTTGGGGGAGATGCAGGTGGGGCAAGGGGCTGCTCCAGTCTCCGAGAAGTGTACCTTGGAAAAAATGATCTTGAGCCCACCAACTCCTTCTCTCCCCGCCCCTCTAGTTTCTTTCCTCTGAATTTAGAGCCATCCCCTTAGCAACGCTGGTTTCCATGGTTTCCTCCCTGACGGGGATCCCCAGCCCCTCCTCTCTTTTTCTTCCTGACAGTAATGGGTGATGGGGATCCTCGGTGTGGCTACTACTCCACATAACCATGGCAACAATTAACTGAGCCTTCATTTCTCTTTTGTGCAGAGAGCTAGGGAATGGAGACCATTTGGAAGGGAGAGGTGGGGGGAGGGCCCCAGGCTAGAGCTGCCCTTGTCACAGAGAGGAAGTTCAGAGACGTCAGATGCCAGCCAGTAAGTTTCAGTCCAAACATGTGTGGAGCCCCTACGTTAAGTGTGAGCCAGCCCCAGGGAGTGCGAAAGGAGTACAGCACACACCCCCTAAGGTCGAAGGGCTCATCGTCCAGCACTGGGCTCTCGGTCCCACTGAAACCCTGGCACAGACAGGGCCGTTACCGGAGGTGACTCTTGACAGCACCTCAGGGTCGAGCATCTGCCCACTCCCAGGATCCCCTCCAGCCGAGAACCGAGAACAGGCTGACCAAGCGGTCTGTACTCACATTAAGGCTTCTCCAGGGCTGGTGTCAGGGAGCTTCTGTCTTGGAAGAAAGGGGACGTTGAAGCACCGCCCTCCTTTTGGAGAAGTGAGGACGCATGCCAGTCTCTCTGAACAGGACTCTCTCTGGTGCAGGGGGAGAGCACGCCTGAGCTGCCCACCGCCAGGGCCAGGGCCATGAGGGAGCGGGAAGACTTCCACTTCCGGAGCCACGGGCACCTGCCCATCACAAGCCTTCCCGGGGAGGGAGGGGTCTGCTCTTACACCGAATGAGAAGGGTCATCGTCTCCGTTCATCCGGCTCTCCCACTTGTCACAGAAAATGCAGGTCAAACGACGGGTGGCTGTGAGGAATTAAAGCAGAAAAACAAACAAAACTACCCAGGGCACCAAAGTTTGCCAGAGAGAATTCAAAAGCCGAAGTATCTGTCTGTCATAGAGAACACAGCTCTTCCTTCTCCCAGCTTTCCATCTTCACCCCCAAAACTTTCAGCCAGATCCCCAAGGGTGGAGACCAGTTCTGCACTTCTTGAGCAAAGTACAAAGATCCCGGATCCTTAGTGTGCTGATTCCAGTCACTTGCACTAACTGGGAAAGATAATCATGATATATTAAAAAAACAAAACAAAACATCCACAGAACAATGTATTTACTGCTCAGGTGTGTTCAAGTAAAATGCAAGTAACAAGGTTGCAAAATTTACTCTTGCCAACCAAATGGAATCCAGACTAACTAAAGCAAATCCCAGATCCTGGGTCCCAGAACGCAGAGTTCCATCCTTTGCTGCTGGGTGGAACTAAGGCAGATTCAATCATTCTGGTCACCCTGCTCATCAGCTAGTCAGAAAAGGATAAATGGCATCCTCTGATTGGTTGACAAGGGAATACACACCAACCAATGAGAGAATGTGTCTCCCTTTCTGGCCAATAAGATCTCAGTTCTCTTCTTGAAAGGAAAGTAGCCGCTTTGTCTATAAACAAAATGGGCAGAAAGGGACTGATAATTAAAAAAAACACACCACTGTTGCTATGGGACATTATTGATGTGATCAGTGATGGAGAATTCATAAAGGAAGGCACTTCTTTGGGAAGAAAAATACAAAAAGCACACCAGCTGTCTGGGTTGGACTAAAAAGAAGTTTCTATAGTAACATGAGAGGGGGGAAAAGGCATTTTAATGTAAATCACCCCAAAATGATATCTAGCCAATCATCCATGGAGGGCTTTTTTGGCCTTTAACTTTGATTGAAATGATAATTATTAACATTTTTTCCAGTATTCACAATAGGTGAAAGAAAGGGTGAAAAAGAGAAAAAGAAAGAAATATGTTTCGGATCCAGGGTATGGCCGATAAGCCAGTTAACTGCTGGAAGCAGAGATTCCCTCCATTCCTATGTGGTCAAGGGAGAGCCCAGCTTAAAGCAAGGTTTTGTTTTGGGAGGAGAAATTTCATGGCTTTATACAAGTGTTCCAGAGGAAGAGCACACAGAACATGGGTGGTCCTGTTAACCTGTTAGCAATTCTCCTTCAGATCCTTCGGAGAAGGGCACAGCTGCCTTTGGAAAACTATGGGTCACATGGTTTCCCGCCCTGATACTGCAAATGAACCCAGGTAGGCAAGGCTGACAGGTAAAAGGTGGAGTCAGTGTGTGTCAATCAAGGCGAAAGGAAAAGATCAGAGGATCAGAAGCCCGAAGTGGTGTGTTTGCTCATTAGGAAGGCGGTGCTGGTGAGCAAAAGACAGCCCCTCCCCCACCACGAGGAACGGCGGCCCAGTCCAGGAAGAAGCTTCTCTCCACCGGAGACACACCTTTTGGACAATTTACTGGTCTCCCTCCTGTTCATCCATGAAGAGCAAGTGTGTTTTTCTCATTCAAAGGGGGAAAGGGGATGGAGATCAATCCCTCTATCTAAAGTAAGGATGACCAAAAAAAAAGAAAGAAAGAAATAAAGAAAAAAGAAAAAGAAAGAAAAAAGGAAAGAAGGCCGAAATGTACATCCCAGAGAAACGGCAGGACAGGCTTTGGTGACCTCCCTGAAGCAAACAGGAGAGAGGGTGGGGACGATTGTGGTGGTAGTGGCTTCACGGAGCATATCTTGAGTTAAAAGGAAAAATTCACCCCTGCAGATATTTTAAAGAATCAAGGTGCTCGTGGATAATTAAGGACCAAAGCCCCTCCATTCACTGTAACCAAGGCAACAGGAAGCTGAGGCTGGTTGCCTGGTAACCACACTGTAGTGCGCGGGTCCTGTTCGCTCTCCTCCTCCCCCACCTCCGTTAGCCCTTTTGTGATAACGTCTCCCCCTCCTCCGTGGCTCTTTTCCTCCCCAGCCAGGCAGTCATTCTGCCCCTCATACAAAGGGCAATCGGACTCCTTTGGCTAAAAATGCAGACCTTGATGTTCATTTTGGACAGATTTCATCTACGTCCAGATAAAACATGCTTCTAGTTTTGGCTCTCCCTCCCTCCATCCCATGCTTTGCCCTTCCTTCATCCGCGATGGCGCGTGGAGATTGTGGGGAGAGGGAGAGGAGGAGGAAGGGGGGGGCGAGGGGAGGGAGGACACGGCTTGGACCTTGGACGCGTGGCGCTCTTTCACCGCGCACAGGGCCTGCGCGTCCAGGCAGATCCACTGTGCCGCTTGCGCCCCGCGCTCTCCACTTACAGGCGCGCGCCTCTTTTCCGCACGAAGTTATTTCAACGGGTCTTAGCGAAAGGGAGTTAGAATGCCCTCTTAGAATCCGATCCCTAAACCCCTGGAGGAATAGGGAAATGAGTTCCCCCTTCCTCGGCGAGACCTGTCTCACCTCCTGGCCTCCTTTGCGTGGGGTCTGAGGGACCACAAACGCGGACAGCGTGGGGCTAAACCGCGGATTCGCGCGCGCGCAAAAAGAAAAAAACCCACCCTGGTTGCTCTCGGGCCGTGGCGCTGTCCAGCCCTTGGTGCTGAAGCTGGAGGCTCAGATTCGCCGCGGAGGGGTTCTGGGCATCATCGGCAGCCAATTCTGACCCCCGAGGTACGGACCCCTGGGGCAGACGATTTGTCTACCTGGGGAAAGAGGAGCGACCAGAGCGTGTTTGCAACAGATGCGTTTGCTTGCTTGTTTGTTTGTTTGTTTACAGCAGACTGGACTCTCTGGGGCGCAATCCCCCGCGCTTCTCCTTTCCCCTCCCCGGGCTAGTGCAATTATTTGCCGCAATCGCAGAGGGTAGGAAGAGCCCTCGGCACTGGGATGATTACCCAGTTGCCTCCAGGCGCATTCCATACTTCTCCTTCTGCCCTGGGTTCTCTGGGCGTCAGCATGCGGAGTCCGGCACTCCTGGCGCTCAGATCCTGGGGCGGGTCGTGGCCCACAAGGCAGGGAGGGGAGGGTTGGAGCAGCCAACCCGGCCGCTTCTCTGTAAGCAACAGGTCCGCCGCCTCTGGGATCGAGTGGGATCGAGGGGCGAGCAGCGCGGGAAGCGAGGCCGTGGTGGGCTCGGTCCGGACTGGGTCCCGGCTGAGTCCGGGGAGCGCGCGCTCCCACTCCCGGAGGCTGTGGCGCTGCCCATCCGCGAAGGGGCGCCCAACCGGGCCAGACGAACGGGTTTTGGCCTGGCGGCGCAGTCGGGCGAAAGGACTAACGCCTCCCACCACGCGAGCTGGCCGAACACCCCGGAGAAGCGCTGAGCTGCTGGGCCGCAGAGCCCCCTCCCTCTTCCCGGGCGCCCTCGCCGCCTTCTCCCTTCTTAGAGACTTTGGCGGCGGGCACCGCACCTCTGGCGGATGCCCAGCCCGGCTGCCCCCGGGCTCAGGCTCCCGAAACCCAGCTCCGGTCGGCTCTGTCCCCAACCCCGAGCCGTTGGCCCCGACGGGGGAGCGTTGGACGGGACAGCGTGGTCGGGACATTTTACCTGGCCCGAGTCGCCACCGCCCGGCAGGAAGACGGCTGCTCCCCACCTCTTCCTGGAAGAAAACCCTTCGCCGTCCCGCCGGCGGCTCGTCGCGTCTCCCGAAAGAGCCGCAGAGCAGGGGGCGCGGACCGGGTGGGGGAGGTTGGAGTTTGAAAAGGATATTCTGCGAAGCACCCCTTGCATACTTGCCTCTCTGGAGCAATCCGTTCGGCCCCGAGCGGCGGCAGCGCTGCCCGGGAGGCAGTCGGGGCCAGACCCCGGGGTGGCGCTCCGTGCAGGCACAGTCCCCGGCTGCGGGGGCCCGCGGAGAGCAGCTGCTTTAAAGCCGAGGCCAACCCGCAGGTGGCCAGTCAGGGCCCGGAACGTCCCTGACGTCATCCAGCAGGCGAGCGCAGAAGGAAGGGAGGGGGTCGCCGCGCTTCACAGTAAAAGTCCCCTGTGGCCATGGCAACAACTCTGGGAGATCCTCGGGCTGGCAGCGAGCCGCCTTTTCTCTCCGGCCGCGTGGCTGGGCTCCGGGAACTCGAGCTCCCCTGGGGCAGAAACTGGAGTAAGTTCAGCAATAGTGCTGAAGCCAGCCTTAGGGTCAGCGGGGCTCCTACCGGGTGCACCTCTCTGCCCTTGTGCCTGTTCCCGTGCCCGGGTTGAGCAGGGCAGGAGAGACTCCCAAAGCGTGGGCTCGTAGGAACCCTCATGTCCGCAGGGACAGTCTCTCCAGTTCCCCTTCCCTGCCCATCGCGGGGCAGGAGAGAGAAAACTTAAATGATTGTACCTTCCTCCATATACAAAAATTTCCTCGAAGTGGATCAAAGACCTAAATGTAAGAGCTGAAACTACAAACCTCTTTGAAAGAGAACACAGGTGTAAGTCTTGGTGAACTTGGGTTAGGCAAAGATTTCTAAAATATAACACGCAGAGCACAAGCAACCAAAGAAGAACAGATCCACTGGACTTAATCAAAATGAAAAGCGTTTGTGGTTTAAAAAAGACACCACCAAGAAAATGAAAACAAACAAAAAAACCCAGAATGGGGGAAGATATTTTCAAATCATGTATATGATAAGGGCCTAGGGTCCTTAAAGAACTATATTACAACTCAGTAGTAAAAGAACCATATTTAAGAATGGGCGGAGGATTTGAATACGCAGTTCTCCAAAGAAGGCATTCAAATAGCCAGCAGGATGGCTACAACTTTAAAAATGGTCAATAACAAGTGTGAACAAGGATAAGTGTGAAACTGGAGCCCTCGAACGTTGCTAGTAGGAGTGCAAAATGGTGCAGCTGCTTTGGAAAACAGTCGGGCAGTTCCTCAAAATGTTAACTAGGGTTGCCACGGGACCCAACAATTCCACGCTTACATGTACATCCAATCCAACAGAGAAACATGAGTTCACACAAAGAACTTGCACAGAGGTGTTCATAGCAGCGTTAGTCATAACACAAAAAGTGCAAACAACCAGATGTCCATCAACTGGTAAATGAGTAAACAAAGGTGGTATATCCATGTAATGGCTTATGACTCAGCCATAAAAGGGACTAAAGTATTGAAACATGCTACAACATGGATGGACCTTGAAAACTCTGTGCTAAGTGAAAGAAGCCATCTGCAAAAGGCCACATATTGTACGATCCTATTTTTTAAAAGATGTTATTTATTTATTTTTTTAGAGAGGGAAAGGAAGAGAAAAAGAGAAGGAGAGAAACATTAATGTGTGGTTGCCTCTCACACACCCCCTACTGGGGACCTGGCCTGCCACCCAGGCATGTGCCCTAGACCGGGAATCGAACCGGCGACCCTTGGATCAGCAGGCCGGCACTCAAGCCACTGAGCCACCAGGGCTGTATGATTGCATTTTTTATGAAATTACTCCCAGAACAGGAAAATCCATCGAGACGAAGAGCAGGTTAGTGGCTGCCCGGGACCAGGGGGCAGGGGAAAGGAGGCAGGACTGCCCAGTGAGCACAGGGTTTCTTTTCAGGGGGAAGCGCATGTTCTGGCAGAGGCTCCGGTGACGACTGCACGACCTTGCGGAGACGCCAAACATCGCCTGCGCCAGGTCGTTTGATGACAGCAATCGATGTTTGACTCTGGGGAGCCCCTCGGCTTCGGCGTCTCGATTCCCTCTACTCAGTGGGGGACGGTGACCCTTCTTTTTCTGCCCGAGGGGGTTTCCGCGAGCATCGCATCCCCTCACTCACGAGAGAGCGCTTTTGAAAAGCATAAATTCTGCCTACGGCAGATTCTATTGTTGTCCCATAAAATGAAATGGCGAAAAACGTGATGAGCTAAGGAGAGCTCCACCTGAGATTTGCAACCAGAGCCCTGACTAATTTGGCTTTAGGCTGTAGATAAAGAGGAGGTGCTCAATCTCCCCTTCACGTGTCCCCAGGGTGTTCTGAGCATGCAGATAAAGGCCGCGGGGGGGGGCGCGGGGGGGAGAGGAGGTCCTGGGCCTGTCCCCACACAGCAGTCACTCCCTTGGCAGTCCACCGGGCTCTCCATCAGCGGAGCCTTCTAGTGGAAAACCGCAGAGGTGGCCGCCAAAGGCAGCCTGTCGCAGCGATCCATCAGTTGGTCACGAAGGTGAATCATTGGAGAGAGATCACAGGTGAGTTCTTGGCGTTCCTGGGACAGGAAGGCCTGCCAGACTCACCCCGGATTGGCTCATCCCGCCCTGCCCTTGGGGAGGAAGTGGATGAGTTAATTAGTATGCGCAGTAGACACAGCCCTTGGCGGCGGACTGCCTAGGGTCCTCCCGGTTGTTTCTGAAATGATCTCAGCCCTCTGCTGGAGTGGGAGAAACCCGTTGCCCGGGGGCAGATCTCGGTAAAAATTGTTGTTTTCCTATCACGGGGTAGAAATCTCGTTAAGTGCTCCAAGGACTGTGGTTTTATGCAATTGTGTTCCACAGCCCCTGGCGGCCTTGGCTAGGATTTCATCCTAAAATAACATTTCCTCTTGGTAAGAAATGTCTCGTGGCTCCAGGCGCTGGGGCTCAAGAGCCTTCACCAGCTTTGGACTCGAGGAGACGCAGGGGTGAACGGGAGGTTTGCGATGTATGTCGAATCCACACAGGTACCGTCTGTTAGATTGTGTGTTGCAGAGCAGTGTTAGGTTCACGGGAGACTCGGTCGGAGACTTCCCCTGTCCCCCGCCTCACTCGCACGGCCTCTTCCATGGCAGAGTGTCACCGTGGTTACAGTCGGTGAGCCCACACCCGCACATTCCGGTCACCCAAGATCCGTAGTTGACACGAGGGCTCTCTTTTGGTGTCGGGCGCTCTGTGGGTTCTGACAAATGTATAATGACATGAATCTACTGTTATAATATCATAAAGAATAATTTCCCCGTAGTCCTGGCTGGCGTAGCTCAGTGGATTGAGCGCGGGCTGCAAAACCAAAAGCATCGCAGGTTCGATTCCCAGTCAGGGCACATGCCTGGGTTGCAGGCCACAGCCCCCAGCAACCGCACATTGATGTTTCTCTCTCTCTCTCTCTCTCTCTCTCTCTCTCTGTTTCTCCCTCCCTTCCCTTTCTAAAAATAAATAAATAAAATCTTAAAAAAAAAGAATAATTTCCCCGTGCCCCCACCAATTCTCGGTGCCCTGCCTCATCACCCCTCCCCCCGCACAACACCGAATTAGGGGCAACCACTAATTTCTCTACTGCCTCCGGTTTTGCTTCTTCTAAATATTCCACAGTTGGAATCCTACTGTAAGGATGGAGACCTTTTGGATCAGCGTCTTTTGCTCGGTCACACGCTGGACAATCTTCCGTTGCCTGGATGGACCTCGACTTATCTATCCATTCACGTGCCAAAGGACATCGCGGTCCCTTCCGCGTTTGGGAAACCGCGACCAAACAGGCTGTCGGCAGCTGTGTGTGGGTGTTTGTGCGGGGGTAAGTTTTCAGCTCATCTGGGTAAACACCAAGTTCTCCAGTTTCATGTATATCTTTACTTAAAATATGCTGGAAAATACTAAACTCTCTATTAGCGCACAAATGTGTCCTCCTGAGAGCTCACAGTGGCAGAACGTTCCGTTGGAAGGGTCGCACTATTTATCAGCCCCGGGCCGATGGATGTGTAGGCGGCAGAGTGTGTCCCGTTCTTGAACAGTGTGTAGAGTGAGTGACACTAGGCCTCTGTCTG